TATACCACCATTTGTAAACGCTATAACCTTTCACATAAACCAATTAATTTATATGTATTGGGATTTTTTTTAGCAAAGACATGTCGCAGAGTACATTTTGGCCTAATTTATGATGAAATTAGATTTTTAAAATTTTTTTACTGGACATGTTTAATAGCAAAAAGTCCAAAATATTGTTTTTTTCTCAAAATTGTCTGTCTTTTTTTGCTTATAGCACAAAAAATAAAAACGCACAGGCTCAATTTGTGGGAAAAAATTATGTAAATTTTATTTGGGTACAGCCTTACATGACCGTGCAATTGTCAAAGTAACACAGCGCCGTAACGCAAAAAATGGCCTGGTCATGAAGGGGGGTAAATCCTCAGGAGGGTGAGTTGTTAAGTACACAGATCATGTCTATGAATGGTCACCGAGCCAGCTAAGTTCTCAATGCTGTGTTCAACACATCCCATAAAAATTGGTGTGACTGATGCAAGCCTGTTATGTCTTGTACACTAGTCCTATTTATTTATTTATTATTTACAGGTACATATATAGCTCTATCAATTTACGCAGCACCTAACACTCAAGGAGCACACAATCTAAGGTCCCTAACTTACATTCATACATACACATAGACAGGATCCAATTCACCTACCACCATGTCTTTGGAGTGTGGAAGGAAACCGGAGTACCCGGAGGAAACCCACGCAGGCTCCCTAGCACTGACAATGTAATTATGTGACTCTGTGTACTGACCACTGTAGTCACGTCCTTGTCAGTGCTGTTCACCTGTGACTTAGTGGAGCTTGCTATGGGATGCCGTGTGCTTAGCTCACTTCAACAGTGACAATAAATTGAATAATATAGTGTACCTGCGTTTTACTTTGTCAGATGTTATTACATTGGTAGTTCCTGTATTATTACATTGGTCATTTCTTTTATATCTATGTAATAGTCTAACCATGAAATTGTTTATCTTTGATGCAGACAATGAAACCGCTGTTTATACTTTGATGCCTGCAGGGGTGTGGAAATATTTGAAAAAACTAGTTATACAGGGACTAAATTGGGGTCCCAATCTACTTGTCAGTCATGAAAATCTACTTTCCTAGATAAAAAAAAAAATTTTTTTAACAAAAATCATATTTAAATCTGAGGTGCTTTTAAGAATGTCGGGGGATTTTAAAAAACGAAAGGGGCTTTATGGCGACTTAAACTTTTCATGTTTTTAACATTGCTCTGTTTATCTCCTACTTACCTCCCTGCCTGTCTCCAGCACCACAACCAGAAACTAGAAGGGAGAGATCTTACAGTGTAAAGAGCACCTACTGGGTGCTCGTCAAGAAAAGGGAGTGTCAAACTCTCTTAACCTCCCTGGCGGTATTCCCGAGTGTAGCTCGGGGTAAACTTTCAGTACCAAAAGCGGTAACCCTGAGCTACACTCAAAATTACCCTGCAGCGTTGCTCTGGGATCCCGGTTTCACTTACCTTGTCCTTCGGTCCCGCGATGTCCCCCCTGCAGCGTCCCTGGCCATGTCCTCTGGCGGATGCCAGCATCTGTCTTCCGGATTCCGTTCCCTGCGAGCGTCGCGGCGTACGGGGGATGGAACCGGCGGGAAATTCAAAAATTTTAAAAGTGACATTCACTCAATACACTAAAATCACATAGTAAAACATTACTGTATCAAAGCAGAAGACTACGGGGAGGGAGGGGGGAGGACAACTTCCGCTTCCGATCGCCTTAGGCGATCACAGCGGAAGTGGAAGAGAGTACCTCTCAAATTCAGTTACCTGCTCCCCCCCGCTCCCCAGGTGCCAATCCGCAACGTGGAGGGGGGGAGAAAGACTTAAAGTGGAACTTCCCCTTTTGGGTGGAGCTCCGCTTTAAGTTAATTTTAGGGCACAAAAAGGCATTAAAAGATCCAATTTATTGGTAAAATATAAAAGATTAAATTGCATCAAGTAAATAGATATTCAAAATGTCAAATTTTAAATTTGTGTGTGCTCGTGAAATGGCAGCAAACTTTAGTACCCTATATTTTCTATAGGGGATGATTTTAAAGACCCTTATAGGTCATCTGTTTAGTGTTATGAAGGAGGTCTGGATCTCATTCTGGCGTGCATGGTGGTATGTAACTTGTATATCGCAATCGATGTTTTCATGCATAGGCATCCCATGTGCATTTACGTTTGTGCATATATGTGGGAGTGGGGGCCCCTCAGATGTTTTTTTGGGGGGCGTATGTGCTTGGGTGTAACTTTATTTTTTTACAATTAAAAACATTTTTTTTTTAACTTAACTTTTTTTTTTTCATCACATAGGGGACAAAAAGTCCACTATATGATGATTTTTGGCGACAGGTTCTCTTTAAGCAGACTCCCCTGTACTCCATTGAATTTGCATTTGCGTTGCATTTTTTCCTGGCCTTGATAGCCAGGAAATCTTTTAGTGGGGACCTGGAAGTGACAAAACACACGTCACTTTCAGTTCAGGACAAGAAGTGGAGGAGAGCGGATGTGCCTGCTCTCCTTCCTCCCCTCTATCCACCGGCACCCGCTAAGCTGGTCCAAGATGGGCAAGTGGAGCCCGGGAGACATAGCGGGCGGGGGCTGGCACTGTAGTGGGGTGTGTGGAAGCAATTCGGTGGCAGTGTTGGTGCCCGAATGCTTCCACCTGACAAGATAGCCCTGCTGCTTGCCCGCAGCAGGGCTAAACATTAAAAGAAACTACCTGCCCGGCATCCACAACCTAGGCGATAGGAATTGCACATCAATGTGCCTATGGTGATGGCCGATCAACATATGTTGTATGTAGTTGTAATTATTTTAAGGAGTCATATGACCAGAAAACTCAATAAAATAAAAAAATAAAGTGTTTTTTCTCTTCTTTCTCAAACTGTTACTGATATTACCAGTGTGTGTGTCTATACAGTCATGGCCAGAAATATTGGCACCCCTGCATTTCTGTCAGATAATGAACTACTTCGTACAGAAAAGTGTTGCAATTACAAATGTTTAGACATTCTCCTGTTTATTTCTTTCGTTTGTATTGGCATGACACAAAAAAGTGGAGAAACAAAAATCCAATTCTGACACATTCCATACAAAACTCCAAAAATGGAATGGACAAAATTATTGGCACCCTCAATTTAGTATTTGGTAGCACACCTGTAACTGTCAATGAGTTTCTTACACCTCTCTACTGGAATTTTGGACCACTCTTCTTTCACCAACTGCTCCAGGTCTCTCAGATTGGAAGGGTTTTTTTCTTCTTGGGAGAGTGCATGTGATTAGTACAGGGCTGTCCAGACAGAAGGTCAGGGGTTATGCAGCCTCATAGGACAAGGCAGGGAGAATGAAAACTCCTCATACAAGCTTTACCTGTGCTCAGCCGGACACTGATGGAAGTCACAAGACTGTTCTAACTGCTGATGAGAAAAGATATTTAGCAGTTTATATTTACTTTTTAATTGTATTTCCATGTTCTGTGTATGTACATGTATGTGAAATACATGTATGTGAAATGTACATTAACATTTATTTGTAGCGTGTAATTCAAGTACCAAGCAACCTGTACAAAATTGGTCAAATTCAAAAAATGTCCCCCTTCATGTGGGCTTTTATTCTTTCTTCTGAACTTGGGTTATAAAAAGTTTTATAACTAGTTTTGGGTAAAATATTTATTTTAAATCCTGCTTTATTATTTTCTTACTTGTTAGACTAATCACATTCTTTTTTGTTGTCAGTCCTTCAAAGACTTTTAGCCTTAACCACGTGTCTTCCGGGACAATTTTCATTTTTTGCACACGTTAAAATCTGTGTTTTTTGCCAGACGTTACTGTAAACACCCACCCCTAAAAACGTATATACTTTATGAAAGCGGTGACCCAGGGAAAATAAAATGGTGGTACTTGCAATTTATTATATTGGACAATAATTGTGAAGTTATTTATCAAAATATATTTTCAGAAAAGGATACATTAAAATGAATTTTATAGCAAACACAATATTATTTCCAATTTTTTGGTAAAATATAAAATTAGGGGTTGTGTTGACTAAATAGATACCAAACATGTTCAATCGCAAAAAGTATGGTAGCTAAAATTCTTCGTAGGCGACGCTTTAAAGGATATGTTCACTTTCTGATAAAAAATAATAAATGCACATTTTTTTACAGGTAAAAAAAAAAATTAGCATTTTTTCTTTTTGGTTGCAGGAGCCTTTAAAGTATGGCACCAGCGATCAGTATATTGCCGGTGCTATGCAGGTCTTCTGCAAATCTGTCAGTATATCTGCTTTCCTGTATGGGATGTAGGGGCAAGAAGATATACTGACAGGAAGATTCAATGAACTACCATGGCGCTCCACAGTGCTGTGGTTGTTCATTGAGAACTACAAGCCAACAGCTGCTAAGGCTGTCAGGACTTGTAGTCCATTCATTCACAGAGCACTGTGAATGAATGATGTGCTCGTGTGGACAGAGCCCCGCACAGCTGCACTGTTTTTAAAAAGTAACAGCTAGTATGGGGAACTTCTCTTTCTACTTCTGTCACAGGGAGGGGGGACAGCGGCTCCAGCATTGGGAAAATGTTACATGTTCCACCCTAAAAACGGGTTCCCAAAGGTGAACTTATCCTTTAACTAGTTGCTGACCGCAGATAGCCGAATGACGGCGGCCGGCCAGTTCTGAGTGGACGTCATATGACGTCCTCCCAGAACGCGCTCTCCTGCGCGCCCCAGGGGGGCGCGCATCCGGCAATCTCCGTGAGCGCTGTGTCCTACGGACACAGCTGATCACGTGATGTGGTAAAAGGCCAATCACAGCGGCCTTTTACCACGTGATCAGCGGTGTCCAATGACACGCTGATCAGAGGGAAATGCAAGTGCCGGTTCTCGGCTGCACTTTCCTCACGCTGTCAGATCATGAGGAAAGTACTGCCAAGAACCGGCAGTTGTCAGAGCGGGGATCGGCACCGATCATCAGGGCACTGATGATCAGTGCCCTGATGATCGGTGCCCAGCAGTGCCACCCGCAAGTTCCGCCCACCTGTGCCCAGCAGTGCGCCCACTAGCTCCGCCCACCTGTGCCCAGCAGTGCACCCACCTGTGCCACTCTGCAGTGCCACCTACCTGTGCCCAGATGTGCCACCTACCTGTGCCCAACAGTGCCACCCACCTGTGCCCACCCACCTGTGCCCACCAGTGCCACCCACCTGTGCCCACCCACCAGTGCTGCCCACCAGTGCCACCCACCAGTGCAGCCCAGCAGTGCTGCCAGTCAGTGCCACCAGTCAGTGCCCAGGGGTTGTGCCAGTCAGTGCCGCCAGTCAGTGCCCAGCAGTGATGCCAGTCAGTGCCGTCTATCAGTGCCCATCATCAGTGTCACCTATCAGTGCCGCCTATCAGTGCTGCATATTAGTGCCGCCTATCCGTGACACCTCATTAGTGCTGTCTATCAGTGCCGCCTATCCGTGCCACCTCATTAGTACTGCCTATCAGTGCCCTTTAGTGCTGCCTATCAGTGCCCATCAGTGCCGCCTATCAGTGCCCATCAGTGCTGCCTCATCAATGCACATCAGTGAAGGAGAAAAAATACGAATACCTGTTTGAAAAATTTTATAATAGAAACAAAGAAACTTTTTTTTTTTTTTCAAATTTTTTGCACTTTTTTTATTTATAGCGCAAAAAGTAAAGCGCCCAGTGGCAATTAAATACCACCAAAAGAAAGCTCTATTTGTGAGAAAAAAAATGATCAAAATTTCATATGGGTACAATGTTGCATGACCGCGCAACATTGTCAATCAAAGTGCGGCAGTGCTGAAAGCTGAAAATTGGCCTGGTAAATAAGGGGGTATAAGTGCCTGGTAGGCAAGTGGTTAAAAGCCTTTACAGGTCATCAGTTTACAACATGTTTCAACTGTACCGCATCTTTGTCAGGTCCAAAGATCCTCCTCTTCTCGAGTTACTCATCGCTGTTGTCGCCATGTGACCTGTATATTAACCCTTTCACCTCCCTTATCCTACACATCTGAACATTAACCCCTTCATTCCCAAGATGCCATGATGTGTGATCAGTACACTAACTCCTTCCTCTGTGCATGAACTACACATTAAAGAATCTAGTGCTCCTTTACCAAACTCCGTGTTAATCATGTTAATAAAGAAAAAAAAGTGTTTTTTAATTGCAAAAAAATTATGGAAAAAAATGAGATTTTAGGATTTTTACTTTCTGAAAAAGAGTAATTTTGGGGGTTATCGTACTATTTTGGTAATTTAATTAGCAGAAAGTAAGGGGAACAGTTTTTTTTTCAAAATGTGTGGTCATTTTTCCTTCTTATAGTAGTAAATAAAAAGCCCAGCAGTTATTAAATGCCACCAAAAGAAAGCTCTGTCTAAAAAAAAAAAAATATTTAAAACTCATTTGGGTACAGTGTTGCATGATGGATTAATCATCGGTCAAACTATCATAGTGTTGAAAACTGAAAAACAGCTTGGTAATGAAGTGGTATACAGGCTGCTACTCAAGTGGTTAATGCTCTGCTTAAATTACAGTACTGGAAAAAAAAGAATCAGAATACATACATTTAAACTTAAGCTGGCCATATTATACATTTTTGTTAATTCAGTTTCCTTTAGATTTACCTTCAACTGTATAGTGCAAGGGCCTGTCTGACTGTATACAATTTGAAAGTGTTTAAGTTTGACCTCATATCATATGGTTTTGATAAATTTAAAGGAAAATTGTATAATGTATGGCCAGCCTTAGAGGTTTGTAAAAAAATAAAAGTCTTTATATGTGTTTATGCTGATTTGTTCTCTATTGATTCATGAGAAGTATGAATTTGTAAAAGTCTTCGGTAATTGATGAAGTGTGTAATAAATATCCTTTTGAGGTAGGGCGACAACTCTGAAATACTGTATGTTACATTCTTTTGTGTAATATCTTTACAATTCAAAGAGATCCATAGTGATATTTGATCTTATATACATGTAAACACAACTCTATGGCTTCCTGCAGAACTGGTTTGTACTAGACACACAACGGAAAGATTTAGCTTTAGTATGTACTTCTTACTCACATACTGATTGTATCTACTGTCAGAATGTGAGTGAGGTGTCATCGGTGACTCTGTAAGCTGATTTGAAAGGTTGTATTTATACATCATAGTAAACAGGCATGCTGAGACTTTTCAACTTGAAATATCCTCAAGAAACCTGTGCATTATTTCTTTAGCTGTTCATTCAATAATTCACATATATATTATGAGAAAAAAAAAAAACACTCTAGGACTCAGTTGGATGTATAAGAACATAGCAGCTAGCATGGTAGCATAATACATTGTATAATAAACATCACAAAAACAATTGTGCATAATAAATTAAAATGTGCAATCAGGGGTGTATCTGCCATGAGGCAAACAAGGCATGTGCCTTGGGTGGCATTTTTCAGGGGGGGCAGCATCACCCCCAGGTAGAAGGGACCAGTGCCATCACTGCAAAGGGAGGAGGCGTGTTTGTGTGTTTAGAGCGGGAAGGCAGGCTCGTGTGTGCTTGGGCAGAGGTAGGGGGCGAAGACGGGTGAGGAGACAGAGAACCTGTCAGCCTGGATAGTAGAGGCGGCAAGGCGGCACATTGAGGACCATGCATTTCTCGGTTTCTCCATGTGCCGACCTGGCCGCCTCTCCTATACATCTCCTGCATGCGGTCAGCTCCTGTATGCTCTCTGCGGCCACCCCTCCCACTTCTCCAGCGCTACAGGGGATCTGGCAGCATATGCCGTCCCCAGTGCTGACAGTACCACACAGATGGGAGAGGAGAGAGAAAGCTGCCCCTCCTCCTCCCGCCCTCTCCTCCTATGTCTGCCCCGCCCACACTTCCCGCCAGCCTTGTGTATTCTCTCTCTCTCACTTTCTTTCTTTCTTTCTCTCTCTCTCTGTCTCCCGTTTTCTCTCCTTTCTTTTTTCTCTCTTTCTTTCTTTCTCTCTCTCTCTCTCTTTCTTTCTTTCCCTCATATGTCTCTCTTTCTCTCTCTTTCTCCTGTTTCTCTTCTTTCTTTCCTTTCTTTCTCTCTCTTCTTTTTTCTTTCTTTCTTCTTTCTTTCTTTCTTTCTTTTCTTTCTTTCTTTCTCATTTCTCTCTTTTTTCTTTTCCTCTTTCTTTCTTCTCTTTCTTTCTCTTTCTCTTCTTTCTTCTTTCTTTCTTTCTTTCTTTCTCTTCTTTCTTTCTTTCTTTCTTTCTTTCTTTCTTTCTTCTTTCTTTCTTTCTTTCTTTCCCTCATTTGTCTCTCTTTCTTTCTTTCTTTCTTTCTTTCTTTCTTTCTTCTCTCTCTCTCTCTCTCTCTCTCTTTCTTTCCCTCCTTCCCTCCTACAAAAAATGTAATTAAATAAAATATAAAATTGTAAAAAATGTAAGTAAAAATAAAAACCTACTGACACTAGTGGAGGAACTACCAGGGTCGCAAAAGTCGCTCTTGCAACCGGGCCCTGACGTTCCACCACCAGGCTCCAAGGAATGGGTCCCCGGGCTTTGGGCTACTCAGTCCAAAGTGCCCGAGTCTATTTTTTGTCCCAGTCCGGGTCTGACCATGCCCAATAAAGGGCATGACGTCTATGAAGATCTACAGGTTCTGCTCGTTTTACTAGGAGGTGCAGTATGTGAGTCTTTTCTGAGGTGCTGGATGTTTAACTATATTGGTGAAAGCTTGATGTAGACTAGAAAATTTTGGCAAGTGTGAAATTACTTCATTGTATTTTATATTGTGAATTAGTGGACACAGTGCAAGCACTGGGATGAGTCCTGTTAACTCTTTGAGTGGGTTCAAGGTCTAACGGATTGTGCAGCACCCATCTAATGTGTGTAGGCAAACCAGTCATCCATAGTGCTTGGTATAGACCAGGCCTCTCCAGCTGGTTCACAGTCTCTGACCGTCTCCTGTGTCCTGTCCCCAGTCTCTGACCATCTCCTGTGTCCTGTCCCCAGTCTCTGACCGTCTCCTGTACTATGTCCGCAGTCGCTGAACGTCTCCTGTAGTATGTCAGCAGACTCTGATCATCTCCTATATCATGTCTGCAGTGCCTGACTGTCTCCTGTATCCCGTCCAAAGTCTCTGACTGTCTCCTGTACTATGTCCGCAGTCTCAGACTGACTGTCTCCAGTATTATGTCCACAGTCCCTAACCATCTCCTATACTATGTCTTAAGTCTCTGACTGTCTCCTGTATCCTGTCCGCAGTCTCTGACCTTCTCCTGTATCCGGTCCACAGTCTCTGACCATCTCCTGTAGTATATCTGCAGTCTCAGACTGTCTCCTGTATTATGTCTGCAGTCCCTAACCATCTCCTGTACTATGTCCTAAGTCTCTGGCCGTCTCCTGTATCCTGTCTGCAGTCTATGACCATCCCCTGTATCCTGTCCACACAGTCTCTGACCATCTCCTGTGGTATATCAGCAGACCCTTATCATCTCCTGTATCCTGTCTGTAGTCTCTGACCTTCTCCTGTATCCTGTCCTCAGTCTCTGTGGGAGGAAACTGGAGTACCCAGAGGAAACCCATGCAGGCACAGGGAGAACATGCAAACTCCAGGCAGGTGGTGCCATGTTTAAGATTCGAACCCACGACCCTAGTACTGCCAGGTTGCCAGGTGGAAGTGCTAACCAATTAGTTTGTTGATTTGTATTTTTAACTATTCTTGCATAAATATTTATTAAAGCTAAACTTTCAGTTAAAAATGTGTTAATTTTAGTGCACCCACACACAATATATAATCTGCAAAGTTGCCATTAGATAGAAAAAGTTAAAACTTTTTCATAAGTAACACATATTTGTGATCTCAAAATGACATGTGCTCTGTAAATGGTGAAAAGTCCTATATTGTAAGTGGGCAATGCATTCAAAACCTTAACAGTTAATCAATTTTAGAGTTAAACTAAAAGAATGACCCTAGAATTATTCATGGGAATGCCTAGTGGTCATAATTTATTTGTCATTTATGTATTCCTAGATTGTAAGCTCCAAGGAGCAGGGCCCTCCTAACCCTCTTGTATTGAACTGTATTGTTGCTGTATTGTCTCCCGTTATATTGTAAAGCGCTGAGCAAACTGTTGGCGCTATATAAATCCTGTATAATAATAATAATATTAAAGTGGTTATAAACCCCAAACATTAAATATGAACAAAACATATCTCTCTATAGTGCGTACTTGTCTCAGTCCAGAGTACTAGGTGTCTTTGCTGTCTGCTGCCTTGTTCCTCTGCTGTCAGCATACACAGGAACAACTTATGTAGGAGGATTTGTTTCATCTCTGTGTATCACCTGAGGCCAGTCACTTCACTGGGTATATGAAAGGATTTACAACCACT